GGCCGGGCGCGGGACATCAGTCCGGGGCTGTTTGGCTCCCCCGGTGCGGGGCCGCCTCCGACCTGCCTGTGGGCATATAGGACGCCGCTGCGCTGAGGGAGGGGATCCGCCTGCGGGGCCGCCCTCCGCTTCTTTGCGCTGGCGCCTGCCAAGTCCAGGGTCCGTGTCCGGGGATCATCTTTCTGCTGTTGGCAGAGCAGGGGGCTTTCTTCTTCTTCCAGTAACCCCATGGACTGCAGATCCACGGGGCGTCGAGGGAAATGCTGGTGGTTTTGTTTAACGCTTTCTCCGCGTTGCATTTTCACGAGCGCTGTCGTCTTTTCTTCGAAAACTAACCCGATTGAGCTTGTGTAAGTCTTAGCGTAAAAATAATATGGATGAACCGCGTGTATGTTAAAAGTTATTCCTGTTTTGTTGCTTTTACATTCTAGATCCTCATGTCTCCACTTAGGCAAACTCTCGTGCTCCTGTAACTTGTGCTGTGCTGGCCACCTTGGTGTGGGGAGGGGTTTTGTGCTTACAGCTGGGACTGCCCTTGAATAAACGTAAGGGTCCAAATGGAACCGTTGGGCCCAGTGAAACAAAATGGTCCATCTAGATCAGTGTCTTGTTTCTCAGGAAAGCAAATGCTGGCTGGCTGCTTCAGGTGTGTGAAGCTATTGAACTATAAAGCAATGCGGTTTCAAAGTGCACTTAGTTGTTAGTAGTAATTAGGCTTTAACTGAAAGCATAGAGCACTTTCACTGTGATTCATGACTGTACATAAGGGGTTAACTGCCTGGGCCATGGTTAATTCCTGAAATGGAATTAACAATGAACTGAACTTGAATCCAGATTTCCTCTGGGGGTTCCTTCTTTTGAGCAGAAGGTACTAATATCTTCTCTTCCTATGCTTATAAATATGAAAATTAATTAAGATGAAAAAGAAGGCAAAGACATCTTTAAATTGTACTGTGGACTTGTTGACATGCTAGGTTTAATCTCTTCTTCCCCATCCCAGACTAGCTGGCCTGCTCTTTATTGTTTCTGGCTTTAAAGACATACTTCTTAATTTCAGTATTTGAGAAATACACTTTTTATTTGTACTTGTGTAGCCTTGTAACTTCATCCAGCAGTTTCTTGGTTTCATTTACATGTTGTAATCTAGATCAGTGGCTTTCAATCTTTTTTCATTTGTGGGCACGTAAAAAAAATTGAAGGTGCAGACCCTTTTGAATTGTAAGCGTGGGTATTTACATACTTTTGATTGATCATAGTAATCTTTTGTAGACCCCTTAGACAGTCTGCAGACCCCCACAGGTTGAAAATCACTGACCTAGATTATAAATTCCTTGTGGCAGGTACCGGCTTTTCAATAAGTGCTTCTGCAGTGTCTGTATATTTTAGAAGGAATAGTAAACTTCATGCATCAGCTGGTGGGCCAACCTCTAATTATTTGAAAATGAGACCTCTTGGGGAGCTTGTAGATTTTCTTACATCTGTCTGCTGAGGGGTTTTCATAGCTGCCTCTGACAGACTTGTTGGAGAGAGGCTTCTGGACCAGATGGACATTGGGTCTGATCTGGTGGGGCAATAGTTGTGCTCTTGTGTTTGCTTATGGCAATAGCATGTCACACTGATCAGTGGTTAATGGCTTTACCAGAATACAGAAGAAGGCCCATGCCCTTATGCCTGCTTTGGGCATGGTGCAATTATTTCTGAACTGGGTTTGAAATATACCCAGTATAACAAAGAAGTTTGGGGGGTGCCTTTGTAAGGCATATAACCAAGCAAGAAGAAGAATGCAGGGCTTGATCTAAAACCCAGAAGCTGATGGGAGTCTTTCCATTGAATTCCCAGGGCTCTGGACCAAGCCTGTGGGTGAATGGAAAGTACAGAGGTTGGAGAAGGAAGGCAAGAATGGTTTGGGATATAAATTAAACCAGTGTTTTAACACGTAGAGGCTACAAGTATGTGGTTTCTGTTCAATTCAAACACAATAACTTGTGAACTGTTGTTTCATGTGGCTTAGGTATAGGAGTGACAGGGCTTCAAAGCATCATTTAGCAGCATTGTTTGGTTGAACCATGGTCAGGACTTGGCTTCAGGCCATCAGGTGGCTTTTTACTTTCCCTTTTGAGGCCTCTTGCTGGTACTAATCAGAGAGGATGTAGCCAGGGAGTAGTGAAAGAGGGTTGACTGGCAGAAGGGAAGAGAGCTTGGTACATGTCTCTGGATATGTGTACAGTGCAGTCCACACTGTGACTGCAGTGTTGTTTAGAGTAAACAACCTGATATAGCTTTTAATTAGATAGCTTGAGTATTTGTAGCTGCCTAGCTGCATCACCATGAAGCATGGAGCTCATTACTGCATGGAGCTCGTTACCAGAGTATTACTCATCCAAGAATTTAGGAATTGCCGACACAGCAGTATAATCATGGCAGTTAAAAATTCAAACAGTAGCCGTGTTAGTTATTTTAAGGGTATATATCTACCCTGCCATCTGACTGACTTCGGACTACCAGGGCTAACTACCTCTCTCAGCTGTTTTAAAGCCAGGTTTAGTATGCCTACATGACAGCAATGACTGCAGTATAGACCTATGCTCAGACATTCCCAGACCAATGACATGCTTTACTGTCAGGTTCTAGCTAATTTGACAGAAACACTCCTGTCGACACTTTCCCATCTCTGCTCTTAGACAATATGCCTCTGTGCATCCCCATAACAGTTTTCTCCAGTCTTCTGTTAAGGAATAGTTTCAGAGGCTTTTTTGACATTGCAGGTAAATATTTCCTTTCAGCTTCCACTATCCATCATCCAAAGAGCCATAGGCACTTCACAGTGCAAGTGTTATCTCTGTTTCCCAGAAGGGGACAACTGCAGAGCTAGAGAGATGCCAATCAAACATTGAGTTAATTGCAAAGTTAGAAATAGAATGTTTATCTTCTTTTTAGGATTTCTCTTCTAAAGGTCAGGCAGCATAGCCTCTCAGAATCAGTGTGTTCATTCTGTTTTTAGGGAATTTTGTGAGGTTATGGAGGTATCCTTAAAGGACCAGGGTATAACAGTGTTATATGAATCATTTATCTATACCCCTAGCCTGGCTTTAGAGACTGGTTCATTTTTTCCAAATCTGAGAGCTGAATTTACTCTCCCTTCCGCTTTCCTACCCTTATAATTCCTGGAAAACTTTCTTGATTTGTGTTTTTTGTTTTTGTTTGCATGGACTTGCACGTTAATGACCTTCCAGTCTTTAGAAACAGTTGCTACTTTTTGAGACACATCTTTTTCAGTATCTCCAATATCTTTGAATGCTTGGTAAGTACTACACTTGAGATTCTTTGTTTGCTCCAGAGTACTAACTTCTTTTGCGATAAAGCTACGCTCTGACTTCCTATACCCAATAACCTTGAAATAGACATTTCAATATCACTCTCCAATAAAAAATTAAAATATAAATTTAACATCAGAACTTCATTTTCCCCTTCTATTCCTCATGTTTTGAAATTTGCAGGTGTTTTGGTTGAGAGAATATTTTTAAATAGTCAGCATAGTGATTTTTTTCATTTTATCCTTTAATCTGCTGTCAGTTCTAATATCCACTGGTTTAAAATTTAATTTATCTCTTACAAGAATCAAAGCTAATCTTTTATAGTAATCACTATTATAGATGGACAGAATAGGAGCTCCTTTGAGTGTTGTCTTCTGTGTTTTACAGAAGATTAAGGACTTGTCCAGGCACACAGGTTGCTGTAGTATATAGTATATATAACTACACCCAGGAGATATCGAACCAGTTATGAACAGAATTGCATTGGTTTGGCTTTCCCCAACAACTAGACTAATGCCAGAGTGCTCTCCTACAGAGCTACAACAGTTTAATTACGCTGGTGCTAAACCACACCTTTAGTGAGATTCGTACAACTTGTGTGTATTGATCCTATCTTCCTCCTTTGTCAATGTCAAAACAACTTGCCCTGAAAACAGTGGCTTCTGGCTTGGTAAGTAGCTTTCACGTGTGAAACCCTGATGTCTCATTCACTCATTTGCATTTGGGGTAGTTAAAATCACCCTCTGGTAATATTTATTCGTGAGCAGTTATTTATAGTGCTTCTGTTTACATTTTATGATGACATTTTCTGCAGGCTTGCATCATGCATTCAGGGGTTTTTTACACAATCATGTCTGTATTCCTTTGGAACATTTTCTTCTTCAGCTAGCAGTGGCATTCTTGGGATGGGAGGGGTCACTGGTAGCAAGTTAGAGGAACTACATTGCACAGCACATACTGTTATATCACAGCTGGACTACAACTGCAACTGGTAACCCTGCTAGAGTCCCTGCTAGGAGTCCTTTCTAAGCAGAGCTGAATTGGTTAGATCCTTTGTCCTTAGAGCTATTTTGAATGAGCTGCTTTTATTGATCCAATGGAGTAGATTGCCAACAGGTACCTGTCTTTGTAGCTTTTAACACAAATGGGCCTATTTTTTATGTTCGGTACATTATATTAAAGAAAGAGAACTAGGTTTTATTTCTGTTTAACAACATTATTCTTCAGGTTTGAATGCTGGAAATTCTTCCCATATATGCCAAGCATTCTGGGCTAGCTGCAGAAGCAAGTGAAATGTCAAGCTTGATGGATTGGTAGAGTTGTTTTTTGGTGGGTAAACAATAATGAAACTGTTAGATCTTTGCAAAGAAACACTGCTGCCTGTGTGCAGACTTTGCACTGGAGAAAGTTTCAATTGTTCCAAAGCAGGGCTGTTTCTAAAATGCAGCTTCTGTGGCTAGTTGCACAGCTGTCTAAATTGGTCGCTGTCTTCAGGCCATTACACAAGCATTACAAAATACTTTTGAAAACTATTTATTTTTCTGATTCCAAGTAAAGCTGTCTTTGCCATCCCTTCCCATTACACGATCAAAAACCTAAAAATTGAGACACACTTTATGATATTTTGAATTCAGAGAATGTTGGAATTGGGAACTCTAGCTTCTTTGTACTGGAGGCTTATGCTCTCAGTGGCTGTGCCTTGTGGTTTTTAGAGAAATTGAGGAACTTGTCAGTTGTTGCATGTGATCACTTGCTGCCTTATAAGGTCAGTCAACTTCTGGTCTGTGTTGCTGTTTCATATCCTTTCTATGCACAGGACTCTCCATTAGATTTCTTGGTGGCAGAGCATGTTTGGTATAGAGGCTCTTTTTATACAGAAAAGAATTGCAAGGCAGTTAAGCAAAAAGCACCTAATTTAAATGTTTGCTTGCTTTACTCTTTTTGTAGTAACGTATGCCAGAGTTTTTTTCCTGACAAGAAAGACTTCATTGGAAAGCCAGTATATTATGCCATCAGTGTATCATAATGGAAGTTAG